CCATAGGACAGGTAAATATGTCAACCATAGCACAGGTAAATATGTACGCCATAGGACAGGTAAATATGTCAACCATAGCACAGGTAAATATGTACGCCATAGGACAGGTAAATATGTCAACCATAGCACAGGTAAATATGTACACCACAGGACAGGTAAATATGTCATATGACAGTACACACCATAGGTACACCACAGGACAGGTAAATAGGACAGTGCCGTTACCTCGGAGGCTGCTCCTCTCCCCAGATCCCGGCCTACGAGTTTGCGTTTGGTGACGTGAATCCTCCGGTCCACGCGTACGCCGTCCTCAAGATCTACAAAGCCTCGGGAGATTGCAGCGCTAGGAGAGACCAGGTGTTCTTGGCCAGGTGTTTCCAGAAACTGGCTCTCAATTTTACCTGGTAACCACGACTCTGTTCTCTACTTTTGGTTTGTTTTAGTAAGAGTTTACGGCACTTGCAACACAATAAGGTCATAAAAGTGCAGAAGATTAGAGGTGTTACAAGAGAGTAACAAACAAAAATAGAAGGAAGAGAGATAAAACGATAGATGTTTGATAGGAAAGGGTCACATTTCATCTTTTGAAGACATATATCCATATTTTACCATTTGAAGATCTATAGCCATATTTTATCATTTGAAGATCTTTACCCATGTTTTGTTATTTAAAATAAGATAAGATAAGATAATACTTTATTATCCCAGAGGGAAATGTTTCTTGACTGTACAGGACGTAAAAACACATGCAGGTATACTTAGAAATTTTGATTATATATTACTCTCATTAAAATTCAATATATGAAAAGAGAAGTAAAGTTGACAAAATGTACATGTCACATCAGACGCATCATTCAACCACATGCAGGAATTTAATTACAAGACCTTTAGTGTTATATACAGATACATACTCTAAAGAGCAACACACATCTATGCTCATTCTGACAATAGCCTTATGCTAGAAGGTGAAAAATTCTTTTATATCTCTTTCTTTGTTGTCAGAGGTACATATCTGCTGCTCTGAAGATATATATATAGCCAGATTTTTCTGCCCTGTCAGGTGGGTCAACCGCAAGGACCCGGACGGACTGAACATTTTCGAGGGAGGATTTCTGGGTCTGGACAACATCGGAGTGTTTGACCGGTCCAAACCGCTGCCCACGGGCGGCAAACTGGCGCAGGCGGACGGCACGGCCTGGATGGCGTTTTTCTGCGAGCTGATGGTGGAGTTTAGTCTGATCCTGTCGCAGCGAGACCAGATCTACGAGGACATGGCCAGCAAGTTCTTCGAGCACTTTGTGTACATCATGGACGCCATCAACTACGGCGTGGCGCACCTCTGGGACGAGGAGGACGGCTTCTACTACGACAACATCATCTTTGACGACCACCGCCAGCCGCTCAAGATCCGCTCCATGGTCGGCATGGTGAGAGCATGACTCATGTGGAAGTTTTCGTGGATATCAGGGGCACCGTGGGGAAATCAGGCTCTCGTCAAATAATGAAGGAGGAGAAACTGAGATTTTTTCCACTCGTTCAGCAATTTAGGCAATCATTTTGGGCTCCACACCTTTCATGTCTACTTAAGAACACATTTCTGTGTGGGTTTTACAGACAAATTTTGATGACAGACAGAAAAAAGGTAAATTTGCAGTTTCCAAGGACCCTTAAGCTTTGGAAATCTTTAAACTTTGGCTGCCATTTTCTCACTTATTTTACCTTTGAGGCCAGGCAGCGCTGTTTCCTTCTACCAGAAATATCTGGACTTCTATTCAAGAGAGATGGGTATTTTATTCACCAAACACAAGACAAATGAACAAACTTTACGATGATCCCAATATCTCTATGTACCCAATAATTGATGACTGCCTGATTCCCCCATGTGCTCATTTTCTAGGAGCATTTTGTTTGTTGAAATGTGTTTATTGGTGGAATTTATTCCTTGCTTATTTGCAATCTGTAAAGAGGCACTGTTCTCTGGTGTATATTTGTCTGCTCTCTGCTTCTTTTGTGTGTGGGTGATTGGTGGGTGCTCTGGGGTGGTCTGTTCCTTCTATCCTATCGAACATGTTGTCGTCTATTTAGTCCAAAGTATAGACCTACTGAAGTAAAGAAGGCACTTAGGACAAGACAGTTGTGAGGTGACGATCTATTGCCCTCATCTTTCCTCCTTTTTTCTGTCGGTTACTGTCTTGTAACACCTCTCATCTCCTGCACCTATATGACCTAATTGTGCTGCAAGTGCTGGAAAACTTTTCCCACAACTAAAACGTCTCCTATTTGTGACGTAAATGTTCTGTGCTGTATGCCAGGTCCCCCTGTATGACATAAATGTTCTATGTACCAGGTCCCCCTGTATGACATAAATGTTCTATGTACCAGGTCCCCCTGTTCTCCTCCCTGGTCCTGTGGGACTCGGAGACCCGCCAACACCCGGGCTTCTACAAGAGGACAAAGTGGTTCCTTGACAACAGGAAGGGGCTGGCTTGTAAAACACAGGTAGATGTTTCTGATGAGTTGAACATCTTTGTAAAACACAGGTAGATGTTTTTGTTAAGCAAAAAAATAATTATATACCAATATTTTCAATTTGCAACACACTGAGATTATAGGTAATGTAGACACCTTTTATTCTGTAATTTATGATTTTACAGCTTAATTGACAGTGCTGCTAGTGATTATGGAGTACAAAGTATTGACGTAGCAGGTTTTGAAAGTGAAGCCCTGACTTTCCAGCTTTTGATGGTGTTTTCACAAGTTGTGTTGGATTCCTAGTGAAGGAGATTGACCCAGGAGCTCTCCAGTATGTACTTTCCATGGTACGCAGCAGACTGGTTAGACAAAAACATAAAATATTTTTTTTTAAAATCAGTCTGTGAAGAAAGAGAAAGACTGGGAATTTACAAGGATTTTCCTCTGAAAATGAAATAGAATATCTTTACCACAGTATTAATGTGCTTTGATCTTAAGGCTTTCTTCACTGGTTAAAAGTATCTGAAATGTCACCGTTAGACTGTCAAAAAATGATAGGCTCTGACACTGACGGGCCATTGGTTGAAAGGGCAACCAAAATTGTAAAAAAAAAACACAAAAAAAACAACAAAAAAAAACAACCACAACCCCCCCC